ATGACGTTTGGGCATACTTTTTGCTGCTTAATGGCATTTTAGTATGTCGCTCAAGTTGTTGTGACAAAAGAAAATTTTAATAGCACAGGGAAGGACACAATGGTCAATGAAAATATCGGAGGGTATTAATGTAATTCAGTCTCAGCAGAATCATGAAGTAACTGTGCTACTTAAGGGCAACTGCTGTGTTCCCCTTCTATCTCTCCTTTCCTCTCTACCTCATTTCTCAGATCCGCAGGATCTTCATTTTCATGGAGGCTTGAAAACCCTAAATAGATACTCTTTTACAGATCACTGATCCGCTAGTGAAGAAGAAATCACCTTTCTCTCTCTCTCTCTCTGTATGTTCTAGCGGGAATCGTTTCATATTCCTCTCAGATTTTATCTTTCTTCACCATCAATCAAGGGCCTTTTCTCCAGGTGAATATCTATATGGAATCTGTTATGTTTGGTACTTTTTCAGGATCTTATGTTCTGATTTCTCTTTCGACTTCCCTATGTTTCTCTGTATGTGATGATTTACTCGGTTTTCTCCATGTTTGTTCAGCTTTGGACAACAGCTGGGTATCGGTTTCTGTGATCTTCAGATACGCTTTCTGGGTTATTAACAAGACTTTCTGGTTTGTTTTTCCTTTGAATCGAGCTTCGATTGAGAGAGGAGTAAAGGTTTTGATTTTGATCTGAGAAACAAGTGTTCTTGTGGTAGTTAAGCGACTAGGTGTGGTGAAAACTTCTTTCCGTCGAAAGTGTGATTTTCTCTGAAAATGGAAACGCTAATCGTAGCTGCAGAACATAGGAATCAGTATTATGGGAAGAAATCGCTTGGACATGATCGCTTTAGATCAGCTCCTTCGAAATCTTTCAGGCAGATTAATTGCCGAACCTTTCATTCTGGTGTTGGTCTGCTTCCAAGACCAAAGAGAACATCTTCAACACCTATAACCAAAGGAGCTCTTCCTCAGGTTCAGTCTCCTCGTTCGCCTAAATCCGTTTTGCCGGTTTTTAAGCCTCCATCTGTTGACTGCGTTGGAACCAGTCCCATTCCTATTGCTAACAGAAAAGGCTCTCAGATCCTTAGGTCTTCTAGTGAGTTTGCTGACAAAAGGAGAAGCCTTTCTTACTCTGAGCTTTGGGCAGGACCTACTTACTCCAACTCGCCTCCGCCTACTTCTGTGCCGATTCCTAAGTTTTCTCTCCGGCAAAAGAGGACGGTGTCTTTGAGCTTTCCCCGTGTGGACTCTGCTGTTGATATACGTGAAGTTGCTAAGTCTGCGCCGGTTTCTCCAACTTCATCTGGTGACAGCCCTTTCCATAGTACTGTCTCTGCCACTATAACACTGCGTCGCATGCTCAATCTTGAGACTGCTGATGAATGAAGATCCAGGAGCCTTTAGGGGAACGGGGGTTAGTTTTAGTTTTATGCACATAGAAATAAGGTGTTAGTCACCAATTTGGTTTGAGTTTGCTTTTTTAGCTTTTAATGGCGATGGGGAAGGAACACGTAAGCAGTCTTGACGCAGAGTTTGTCAGCAGTTACTGGATCTCCTTTGCAGATTGGGGTGTGATATTAATGGTGGAGTTATAGTGAGTAGAAACATTCAGGAAGCAGATTGAAATTGCGTAAAAGAGAAGACTTGATTCTTGGGTTAGCATATAGGATGGCCAAAACAATAACTAGTCTCTAACATATACCCTGGGTGAATGCTAAGTTCATGTGGCGATGCTTGAACATTAGCGTTTCCTCTTTGCCCTTTGTATAGTTTCTCTTTAGAGTCGTCTTTTTCCCTTTTGGCTTCTTTTCTTAAGTGGGTTAGATAGCAACTAGCTAACCTGTACATGCAGTAGAGCCTTTGATCACACAAGCCTTTGATCATACTGGTTCTCCAACGTCTTTTCGGGGTCTTAGTCTTACCTTTGTGTCTTGTATCTCCCTCCCTGTCCATATCTTTTCTTATAACCCTTTTTTCTACTTTCATCACTTAAGTCTTCTTTTCCTTCTAATTCATTTCTATCCAGCCTTAAAAGATGTGTAAATCTTACTACTACTGTTTAGTCGTCTTCCTCTTCAGCTCTTTTCCTGTTTTTTTGTAAAGGAAAAAGGGAATTGGAAGTTCTAGTGACCCTCTTAGACTATCTCTACTGATAAGTTTCACCTGGAGGAAAGCCAATACTTCCTCCGAAGAATAGAGATTCCTCAGGTTCTTCTCTATACCGGTCTTTACCTTAAACACTTTCAAGTCTCCAAGGAGTTTCGTGATCCCGCCTAATATGCTCACCAGGTAAATTTTGCAGTTCCTTAACTCTCCCAATCTAATGAATCTGAATCTGTAGCTTCATAGAAGTTTATGACTTTTGCTACAGGGACACCTATAGAAGCTGCTGCTCTGCTCTACTCTGCGTTTGATGCTTCTTATTTTCTTTTGTCTTTGGTTGATCTGTTACACAGTGATATGTGTGATCTCTGTGTTTGGAACTGTTGTCTGTTGCTTCCTGAAACGTTTGTCTCTTCTTGTCCTTTGGTAATTTGTGAAGTGTTGTAGACGTTTTGCTATCTTGGTTTGAGTTTTAATGTTGCAAGATATGTATCCCTTGTTCCCTTAAATTATTATCATTCTCTTTTGGCTTTATTTATTGCGTATTGAGATTAGGTGAATCTACTTGTAGATTTGAGGATCGTGTGTATCTGAAACTCAAATGGGCACATGTCGACTTAGATACTATACAAATGAATAGTTTCTAACAATCTTTTTTAAGTAGTATCTGCTAATTACATACATATTACATAGTTAGGATCTACCCATTTTTACTTTTAAAAACATTTGAAAATAAACTATTTTAATTCATTTATAGAGACTTCGAAATTTTGTAAGAAAGAAAGAATATAGAGATTAGAAGTTAAATAGTTAATAGACAAAATTTAATACATCTATTATCTATTATATTAAAAGAGAAACACTTTTAGTGTTTGTTTCAAACACTCCCAAAGTTTTATATATATATAAATTTAATTCTAAAAATTAGATATTAATTTAAATAACTAAAAATTTCTTTAAATATAGGTTATACCTATAGTTTATAGATATTAATTTAAATAGACTTTCTTAAATATATGTTAGATTTAATTTAACATTTGAAATTTAAATAAGATTTTCAGAATAACACATATAATTAACAAATATCTTATTATATTTTTTAATCATAATCTATCAGATTATAATTTTACATATAGAAAATAGATAAATATTAATATTATATACTAATTTGATGGGACAAGTTAAGTTTTTTTTTATAATTATAGTCTTATGCGGATTAGGTTATCAAAACATTGTAAGATATTAGGAGAAAATTATTTCAAAATTAGTAAATATTTATATTATAAAGTAATATAAACAGGTATGTTAAGATTATGATTTTATAATCATAGTTTTTTCAGATTAATAAAATGACCGAGTTAGAAATATATTCTTATAATACGATCATGTTTTGATCAATAAAATAATCGGATTAAAATTATGTTTTTATGATCATGGTGGTAATAATAATATTAGAAAAAAAATTATATCTAAATATAAATTATTTTTTATATCACTTATTAAAAAATTATATATATAAAGAAAACATAAATTATATTATAAATTTTAATTAAAACAAAATTTTCATGTGCACAAGATAAAATTAAAATAGTAAATCTTTTGCTGGAGCGTGCGTGCTACCTCGTGAGGTGGGTTTCTACCAATTTGCAGTCGACATTTAATACGCGGAAATAGCCCGTTGTAAGCCCATTGGACTACCTTCCCTTCTTTAGTGGGCTTTTCCTTGACGTCGTATGTTATACATAGTTAGTAATAGACTCGTGAAAACCAGTTTCCTCTTTTTTTCGCTCTCTCTAAATGTTAATAAAGACAAACTTTCAATGCTTTAATTATGGTGGTAGGCGAAAGTTACTATCAGAGACAATATTAAGAAAGAGAAAAATAAACGAAATAGACGTTTGGAACCGAGTAGAGATGAGAGGTTGTTGAAGATGATAATTATTGAGAGTTGTATATGTTTTTGGTTTCTAATGTTTTCATGATGGCTCATTATTACTGTTGGGCCCAATAACAACAGGAAAGGAAACTTTGGTGGCATTTTGTTCGTTATAGCAAATAACTATTCAAAGTACAATGTATGGGTACCGACAAGTTGATATGTTTCTACTTAATCCCCCTATATTAATCAAGAACTAAAGCCTATATGTTATTTGGTAATTTACTCAAAAACATTCAATGGAAATTTTCATAACACTATAACAGTGATTTTAAATAGTTTAGTAATGCATACATCGATGCGCATGGGTGTGGTGTCTAACGTGGACGAATATGATAGGGTGGTGTAGGTGGGGTCCAAAGCTCACCTCTAATACGCCTCGCTGTGCCTTGGCCTTTTCCTTTTTCTGATTCTCTTTCTTTCCAAAGATTCTCACTTTCCCATTTCTTTTACTATTAAACCAAAAAAAAAAAAACAAGCAAGAGTTATTTTATTCAGTAAATAGTTTAAAATTGAATGAGGTAAAATTATACATTATTCTTTATTAGATAGTTGCAAGAGATTTTCGGAAGCTTATCTTAATTAAATTACAGAATGTAAATAGTTAGTTTCAATGAGGTGTTTTTGGAAAGATGGTATCTTAAAAGGATAAAAATGAAATCTCTATATGAAATTTATAAGAAGAAATTTGAAACTCATTTAAGTTCATGTAGAAAACTTGGTAGGGTGTGGCATTAATTGTTTATAAGAAGTTAATTTAATTACAGGCTTAAATTATGGCGTAAATTACATTAACTTTGTTTCTCATAAAGCGTAATTTACATTATATAAGGAATTCAATTATCCCACGCAATCCCGAGAAGGAAACTGCATCTTATTTTTTAATAAGGAAAACATTTATATGAATAGTACATAAGGGCTTTCTCGTCATTTCTCGAATCATTTTTCATTCTCTCAATCTCTCTTTAAGCCCCACTATAACCTAAACAAAACTCTTCTTTTTCAGCGTAAAAAGCAGGAACAGAGCATAAACGTCGAGCGAAAAAGAGAGAGAGATCTAGGAAATGATACGATGAGAAATGCGAAGAACATAAGGAAGCTGAAGCTAGACTAAGAGAAGAATAACGAAGCGCTTCTTCTTTCCATGAATCTTCGTTTCTCGACGAGCGGTTCGATTTTTTTTTTTTATTATTATTTTTTGGTAGGAACTCGACTGATCACTGCTTTTTGATTCGTTTGATAAATGTCGGATTAGTATTTTTGAGCTCTAGGATCACAATTTGGCTACTTTATGCACTATTAACCATATTTTCCTGCGTCTGATTTTCTTACTCGAACTTGTTGTTCTCTGGGATTTACTTTAAGCGAACGAGATTATATTTATTTTGTGGTTTTCATAACATAGAAAATCACAATCTTCTACATTTAGCTTGCTTTATTTTTTGCTAGTGATTTTTCATCAGATTCTGGTTTCTCTAAATTGTTTCGTTATAATACTATTCAGTTTTTTGTTCACATTTTTCTGGGAGATCAATCTCTGCTTTTCATTTTTTTTTTCAGGTAATTTGCTAAATAGGTTGTGAGATCCTGAGACGAAGGAGTTTTTTGTACACATACCCTTGTGGTCTGTTCGTATTTGCTGATAAAAAAAAATGGAGGTTGTGGCAAAGAGTAACTCGAAACGTATGTATTCATGGTGGTGGGATAGTCACAATACCCCCAAGAATTCTAAATGGCTTCAAGAGAATCTTGCAGGTATGTTTTGTTGTTAAGTCTATTGCTATACTTGTATCGTATCTTGCTTTAGCTTGCGGTTTTTGTTTTGGTCTATGAAATAGCATCAAGGCCTTACTTTGATGATGTATATGGTTCAGAAATCAAGAAACGTTTTTTGACTATCTTTTTGAAAATGTTTCTCTTAATTCTGTTGACAGATATGGATAGTAATGTGAAGAAAATGATCAAGGTTCTTGAAGAAGATGCAGATTCCTTTGCTAGGCGAGCAGAGATGTATTACCGTAAACGTCCTGAGCTTATGAAACTTGTTGAAGAGTTCTATCGTGCGTATCGCGCATTAGCCGAGAGATATAATCATGCAACCGGCGTACTCCATCACGCTCATCAGACTATAGCAGAAGCGTTCCCAAGCCAAGTGCCTTTGATATTTGGTGATGAGTCACATGTTGGTGCTTTGACAAATGATGTTGATCCACACACGCCGGATATGCCTCCTCCTACTCGAGCTCGGCTTGGCCAGGATGAGTTTCAAAACTATGCTTTGAAGAGGAATATGGATTTTAGTGAAGAGCCTCCTTTCATGAGTAATGGAAAAGCAAGAAAAGGACTGAACTTTAATGATGGAGAAGGAAAAGGAAGAAATGTTCTCAAGGACCAAATTCTTTCAGAATCTGAAAGAGCTTGCAAAGCTGAGGCTGAAGTTTTGGCTCTAAAAGATTCACTTTCTAGAATGGAGGCTGAGAAAGAAGCTAGGTTAGCTCAGTTTGAGAAGAATTTGGAGAGACTCTCAAATCTAGAATCTGAAATATCTCGTGCACAAGAAGACTCAAGAAGACTTAATGACAGAAGCGCTAGTGCAGAAGCTGAAATCCAAACCCTCAGAGAAACCATTGGCAAGCTAGAGTCTGAAAAAGAATCCAGCCTTCTGAGGTATCAGCAATGCCTGGAAAAGATAGCTGATTTGGAAGATGGAATCTCTGTAGTCCATAAGGATGCTGGAGAAATAAACGAGCGAGCCAACAAAGCTGAAGCTGAAACTCTCGCCTTGAAGCAGAGCCTTGCTAAAGCTGAAACTGACAAGGAAGCTGCTCTTATCCAATACAGGGATTGCTTGAAAACGGTAGCTAACCTAGAAGAGAGACTGAGGAAGGCTGAGGAAGATTCAAGGCTTATCAATGAGCGGGCTGAAAATGCTGGGGTAGAAGTTGAAAACTTGAAGCAAAAGATCTCGAAATTGATCGAGGATAAGGAAGCTTCTCAACTTCAATACCAAAAGTGCCTTAATATAATTGCGGATCTAAAACTCAAACTATACCATGCTCAAGAGGAAACACAAAGGCTTAGCAGCGAATTACAGGATGAAGTTGCTAAGTTGAAATTTTCTGAGGAGAAATGCATTGTGCTTGAGAGATCAAATCAGAATCTTCACTCTGAGCTGGATGGTCTCTTGGAGAAACTAGGGAGTCAAAGTCAGAAGCTCACGGAGAAGCAAACAGAGCTGGTCAAATTGTGGAGTAGTGTACAAGAAGAGCATTTGCGTTTCCAAGAAGCTGAGACCGCGTTTCAAACGCTACAGCAATTGCACTATCAGTCTCAAGAGGAGCTAAATAATTTGGCTGTGGAACTTCAAACCAGGTCTCGAATCATGAATGACATGGAGATCCGAAACAGTGAGCTGCATGAGGAAATTCAGCAAGCCAAGGTTGAGAACAAAGGTCTCAGTGAGCTCAATCTCTCTTCGGTAGTATCAATTAAAAGTTTGCAAGAGGATGTCTCAAGTTTAAAGGAAACAATAAGAAAACTTGAAGCAGAAGTTGAACTAAGAGTGGACCAGAGAAATGCTCTGCAGCAAGAAATATATTGTCTTAAAGAGGAATTAAGTCAGGTAGGCAAGAAACACCAGTTGGTTGAGTTGCAGGAGGAAAACTCGACCTTAAAAGAGTGCAATGAGATTGAAAAAAGCGAAAATATGGCTTTTCTAGAGAAGCTGGAAACTATGGAAACACTTGTTCAGAAAAACCTTGTGTTGGAAAACTCTATATCAGATTTGAATTTTGGGTTGGAAGCAATCAAGGGAAAGCTGAGCATGTTGAGGGAAGCTTGTCAGTCACTCTCAGAAGAGAAATCAGGTCTTATTTCTGAGAGCCAACAAACCGCCATTGAGAACATCGTCCTTGTTGAATTTCTTCGACAACTCAATTCAGAAGCAGTTGGTATAGCAACAGAGAAGAAGAACCTTGAGGGTAAGGCAAGGAAGACTGGTGCTAAGTTAATAGATGCAGAAACTGAGAATTTGCAGTTGAAGAGAAACCTGCTTTCTGTAAGATCAGCCAAAGATCATTTAGAAGATGAGGTCGCTAATGTGAAGGATCAGTTACGTGAGAAGCAGAAGGAACTTGAAAAAATCAAAGTTGAGAAAGAAATGTTGAATCAAGAGGTTTTTAAAGAGAGGAGTCAAACTGAATTGTGGGAGTCCCAAGCTGCAACATTCTTCTGCGATAAGCAGATCTCGGTTGTACATGAAACATTGATTGAAGCGATGACTCATGAGCTAGCTGAAGCCTACAACAATCTTGAAAAGCTTAAAAGCAGCCAAGCCTTAGTCTTGTTGAATGAAAGCATTAAATCTTTGGAGGATTATGTTTCCGTGTGCCGTGGATCTGTGGATGAACTTTCAAAGGTAAGTTATCTTAGCAATTTCTCTCCCCAATCTCACTTCTAAAGTTGATTCTTTGATGAAATTGAAACTGTTGAAGAAATATGTTTGAAATTTCTATTCTCTCTTACCAGGGCGATGGTTCAATGGATGAATTCCCCAAGTTGGAAGATATGTGTTTGAGAATCAAAGCCATTGCAGAGGCAGTAATGGAAAAGGAAAAGTTTTTGATGCTTGAGAACTCGAATACCAACTCTATGCTCGAGGCAGCATTGAAACAAGTCAAAGAACTGAAAAACGGCGGCGGAAGAAGCATGAGGAAGCAAGAAGGTGGCAAAATGCGGAAGCAGAGTCACGAAATGGAGATAATAACGAAAGATATCGTTCTTGATCAAACCTCCGATGGATCACCATACGAGATCATAAGTAAGAAAGGCACTTTGGAGTTAGATGGTCACAGTTTCTTTGAGTTAAAGCCGGTGAAGACTCATCACAAGACAGAAACCGCGGTTAGAGCGAAAGGTAAATCTTTGTCTGAAGAGTCATTTGTCGTCGATAAATTAGAGATTTTCGACGGATTCATGGATCCGATCAGAGAAGTAAACAAGAGGAAAATTCTAGAAAGACTTGATTCGGATTTACGGAAGCTGGAGAATCTTCAGATCACTGTAGAAGATTTGAGAAACAAAGTCGAAACAGAAGAGAAGGACAAGAAGAAAGTTGGAGGTGAAGAGTATGAAACGATCAGAGGACAGCTGGAAGAAGCAGATGAAGCAATAGAGAAACTGTTTAACGTCAATCGAAAGCTGACCACAAAAGCCGAATCAGAGGAGGAGAGTAGTCGAAGAAGGAGAATATCGGAACAGGCGAGAAGAGGTTCAGAGAAGATTGGGAGGTTACAGTTGGAGATACAGAGGATTCAGTTTCTGTTGATGAAACTTGAAGGAGAGAAAGAGAAACGAACTAGGTCGAAGATTTCAGATACCAATTCTAAAGTTCTTCTTAGGGATTATATCTATGGTGGAACGAGAAGCATATCGATGAAGAAGAAGACTAAGAAACGGTCTACGTTTTGTGGTTGCGTTCAGCAGCCGCGGTCTCCTTAAACGTTGTTGCAAACTGTTGTTACTTCACTCGCAAGTAACAATACATTCATGTGAATGTGGAATCAAAGTTAAATTTAACAGTGTTTGCGATTATGTTTCTGAACGCAGTAGTAGTGCGTTTAAATAACAGACTGTAGCTTTTCAACGCTTTGTTTCTTGATGAAAATATAACTCTCTTTAGCATTTTCGTTATAATCATTTCTTGATCCACTATTTCTGTTTTCTGTGTTCCCTCTATAATCACATGAACATGCGAACTGTAACCATGTAGATATACATACAACGCTTTCTTATTATAACATTTGTTTTTGGAGATTAAGAAGCCTTGATTACCATCCTCATAATCATCATCATCTTTGTAAGGCTCTAAATACAGTAAGAAGAGACATGAAGAGGTTGATGATGTCTAGGTAGAGCGAAACCGCAGCCCAAATATACTCATCGTATGTGTATCGTTTGATAAGATTGTCTGTATCATAGACTATGTATCCACAGAATATTATCGATGCCAAGCAACCGTAGATCATCACCGATATCCGCCCTAATGGGAAAAATATCTGCAAAACATACGAAAACACGGTTATGCAATCCAAAAGCAAAGTTTCTATGCAATGCTTAAAGTGAAATCAAGTTTCTAACTTCTCTAGTCAAAAGAATGCTACCAAAAAGTACCACATCCAATAGGCTAAAGCTCTCATTCTCTCTGTAATGCCTATTGTGTGAAATCAAGTTTCTAATTACTTAGAACTTGGCTTAAAAGATGCTACCAAAACTACCACATTTCATAGGTTTAGCCTTAAACTCGCACTCCTATAATGAAAATCAAGTATCGAACTTCCAGCCTAAATAGTATTGCTACCAAAGCTACGACATTCAATAGGCTAAAACACTCATTCTCTGTAATGCCAAAAGTGAAAAGTGAAATCAAGCTTCTGACTAAACTAACTTCTTGGCCTGAAAAGAATGCTTCCAAAGCTACCACATTTCATAAGGAGAAGCCTAAGGCTCTCTCACTCTCTATAACGCCTATGGTGAAGATGGAACAAGTGGTGTTACTTGTATTATGCCGAAGACAATAAGCACGATGAGAGCTCCAAACAAGAAAGGTCCTAGGAAATTGAAGTCATATCCTCTCTTAGCTGCCCAAAAGGTGTATAATGTAAGGGAAAGCACCACGACTGTTGTCAAGATCGCTGACTCGAGAACCACTTTCCCTGTTTCCAAGACAGAGTAACATCTATCAAACATATGTACACAATCAAAACCAGAAAGTATCAAAATCTAAACTTCCCAAATCAAATGACAAATACAATAGTGATTGATCCTTATTCTTACCATTGGTGAAGGCACATGTCAATCCAACGACAAAAGCCAGAGCCAAAGTGAAAATCCCCAAGAGCAAGTAATTCACCGGATGTTTCTGGTGGTAGTAGTACAACGGGCACAACACTAAAACCGGAGAAAACATTAAAAAATCCAAAATTTTCAGCAGAGATGAAAATCAAAATCCGAAATTTATAATTTGAAAATCTGATTTCTCTCTCAATCAGGTGTGTATTGATGATTTTATTTACCTATCAAAGGCATGATGACGATGACTATGTAGAGAGCTAATCCAGCGCTGGTGGTGGCGAAGAAAAGAGCAATTGGATGGACGGTGACCACCGTGGCGGCGACGGCGACGGTGGCTAGGAGCTGAAAGGCGATTATTGAGTAAACCTTGCGTATAAATCCCCACCGGAGCTCCGGATTTTCCAGCATAGTTGGGTATAAAGGCCTCGAGCCACCGGCGGCTTCCACGTCATCTTTCCGGTACGGTAAGTTCCACTGATACATTACAACTTTCCGACAAAGTGAACGAGAACGCGGGAAAAATGGAGTCTTTAGATTACGAGAGAGATAGAGATAGAGAGAAGAAAGGTAAAGAGAGGAAACGGGAAGTTGAATCGGTGCTTCGTTTGGGACTCTTCGTCCTGTGAGTTAAAAAATGCGAGATTTTTTTGGATTTTCTTAGAAAAGCGGTGAGTGTAGAGGAAGGAGAGAGTTCATGAAGGTTCCCGGTTAAGGAGGAGATGACACGTGGTGACCGCGTAGAGTAGCGTTAACCGTGACAAGGATGCACTTCAAAGATTTTTTTTTTATGTCCGAAAGAAAAGTATCTTTAGTTAAAGGTTTGGATAGGTTTTGTAATAAAATTATCAAATTTGTACAGTAAGTATTTCAAAATTTTGAGAGTAAAATCGCAATTATTACTAATATAAATTTATATCTTGTAACTTTTTTATAATGAGTTTTTTTTCCGATCGAATATATTTACCATTGTTTTCAATATTATTTATAGATTTAGATCTCAAATAAATGATTTGACAAAAAAAGTAAATACAAATTATTTAAATTTAACATAGAGAAAATTGCAATTCGTTGAATAAAATGAACCAATCACAATTATAAAAGCAATTAACTAGGAATTACCAAAAAAACTTTAATAAATGTAAAAAAAATCAATTCACCATTTTTTGGAGAGGCCGGAGAAGCGATAGTGCTGGTTACTGTTTGTGTGGAGATCTTCACCAAAAAAGAAAGGATATGAGAAAAAACAAGAGAAAAGAAGAAAAACTTTCCCTTTTACCAATGGAACAAAACAGCTCAGAGAATTGAAAAAGTGTGAATTTGGAAAATATCATCTACAAGAATGAGGGGCTTTTCCGTCGAATTATTTACGACGATTTTTAGTCATCGTAATTTTACGATAATTTTACGACGAATAACCCTGATCGTCGTAAATTCGTCGCAAAGTCTAGATACAGCCACGTGTGTGTGTCTTATTCACTTTGTTGTACGGTTGCAGCTTTACGACGGATTTACGACGAATAAAAATTCTATATATATGGAAGCACCCCTTCCTCATTTCGTCGCTCATTCAACTTCTTCTTCTCCCTGCTTCCTCCTCACTTCGTTGCTTCCCTGCAAACCCAAGAAATCAGGTAATTTTTTTTTTTACTTAAAATCTAATTTTTTTTTTAATTAGTTTAGAAATACAAACGGTTTAGGTCGAAAATTAGTTTAGGCTCGGAATTTGTTAGATTTAGGATCGGAATTTGTTAGATTAAGGATTTAGGGTGTTTGTTAGATTTAGGATCATAATTTAAAATTAATTTGTAATTTCAAAAATAAAAATTTTCCGGTTTTGCAGACGATGACTCGACGGAGGACGCACTACATCAACTTTATGGCAGACGGACACTCTTCCCGGGCGTCTGCCTCGGGAAACACCGGGACCGATGTCCCTTCATCTTCTGGAGCCTCCCAGGTTCTGAATACCGTAGCGGAGCAATCTCCAGCACCGCCTCCACCACCACTTCCACCACCACCTCCACCGTCGGCTCCCGAACCGCTGGCCCACCCTCCTCATCCGTATGCCCAATTTACGGTTGAGAACTTACTAGTCCTACCGGGACGGGGGGCTTTACGACGTCTGGTTCCCGGAAAAGCGGAACCAGGCTCTTATTGGTAAGTAAAATTTTTTATTTTTTATATTATTTTAAATTAATGCTTTAATTTTCTTAAATATTAATGTAATTTTTTTTTTTGGTTTCATAGGTTTGACTTGGATAATTGTGTCGGTCGGAGCGTTTCCGACACAATTAAGAGTCATTTCGTTGAGCCGCACTACAACTTGAGCAAGGTGTCGCAAGAGACGTTCGACACCTGGTACAAGTGCTTCGCGGTAATGTTTTTTAAATCTTATTTATATAATTTTAATTATTTTAATATTAATTAATCTTACTTTTATATTATTTATATAATTTTTTGTTTTCTTTTGCAGCAACGGTGGAACTGGGACATCGGGATCAACGAGACGGTCCGCGAAGCTTTCCGGCTGAAGGCGCAGAAACGCCTAGTCAACACCGTTTCCGATTGGAAGCGGAAGTGGGAGACCGATGGAGACGACGCAAAGCCAAGCTCCATGTCCACTTTCTGTTGGAACGGGTTGAAGGCGTATTGGCTGGACTCGCATGCCCAAACCACTGCGGCTAAGTGTTCGGCCGTCAGAAACCGGGTCGGTCCTAACGGTCAGAAGTTAGTGACCCCGCACACTTCTGGCCAAATATCTTTTGCGGGAAGACGACTCATGATGGTAAGTAATTAAATATAAATTATTTCATTATTATTTCATTTTTAATTATTGCTATAATTTCTTAAATATTTTTGACTAATGTTTATTAATTGGTAAGCCGAGGAGAACGGAGGAGAACTACCTCCAATGACGAAGCTCTTCGAAACCACTCACCGGAAGAGGGACGGGAGCTTTGTCGACGCTCGGTCAGAGGAGATCTACAATGCCGCTATGCAGCGGATCGCCGAGCGGGAGACCCAGGCCACACCTGACGGTACTATCCAAGTACCGTTGACCGTCGCTGAGCAAGACCAGATTTTCGAGGAGGTATGATCTATTTCAATTTTTTTTAAATTTATTATATTTATTACTTAATAAATAATTAACGTTTTTATTTTCCATTTGTAGGTTGCTCCGAAGAAGAAGGGCCGAACCTTAGGGATGGGCTCTATTAGAGACTGTCCTGCCGTCTCGGCTTCCGGATTTCGCACGTAGGAGGATCCGAGTCATCTTCGCCAGGAGCTTGCTACGGCCAATGCTGAGATCACCACTCTCAGGCATGAGCAAGTGGCCCAGAAGCAGGAGCTCACCAAGATGCACGGTCTCTTCGACATCATTGCGGAAGCGGTTCCGCAGTTGGCCACCGCAATCCGAGCGAGGCAACAGCGAGCACGAGGGGTCTTTGAGACCGGTGGTACTTCCGGTACTGGACCATCGGACCAGCAGACGCAGGGTCAGTCTTCGGCTCCGGTAGTGCAGACGGGAAACGACGGTCCAGCAACGACGGGCGGCCAAGACGGAGAGCCTCCTCGTGACGTCGATCTCAACCTCGACGATTACGAAATGACATTGTAGATTAGATTTTTTGTAAAAAACAATTTGTATTAAATTTTTTCTTTTATTTATAAATTATTTTCGAATTTAAATTTCAATTTAAATTGTTTTTTTCTATTTTTAATTTTTTGATTATTTTAAAAATTCATTAATTAAATTAAAATCGAATTAAATAATTAATTTATAAATCGACGTAAATTCGTCGTAAATTTACGTCGATCTAACGTCGAATATTTAACGACGGATTTACGTCGAATATGTTTACGTCGGATTTACGTCGAAACTTTACGACGAATTAACATCGACAATAAAAAAATTAGTTTCCCTTAATTGAAATTATTCGTCTCTTAATCGTTGTTAAATCGATGTAATTTTCGTTCTTATGATGGACTTATTTCATTGTACTTTCGTTGGAAAATTTACATCGCGTTTACGACGAATAGTTTCCGACGATATTACGACGATTTTCCTGGATTGGTAATTTTACGACGATTTTACGATGATTTCTGTTTTACGACGATTGTTTTACGACGATTTTTTTTTCATCGTTAATTCGACGTAAATGCTCTTTTACGTCGATTTTACGTCGATATCTGCCGACGTAAAACCCGATCTTTCTTGTTGTGTTACACTTCGATCTCCTTTGCTCCAATCTTATATAATCCTCCCAATTTCTCCATTGGAGTTCCCGTACCTCTCTCTCTCTCTGTCTAGGGTTTGTTTTCTCTCCCATACGAAATTGCAGAAGCACGCGAAACACAATGGTTTCTTCTCGTCTCGCTGGTTAAAGATTCTTACTTTTTAATGTACAAGACATCCTAGATTTGTTTGGTTTTTTCTTTTTTATGACTTTTCTGGGTTTAGTTCCTGGAACCACTAGATTGTTTTACCACAGCTGACGGCTAATGATTAGGGTTTTCTCTAGAAAGCTCTAATTTTGGTGCTCTACACTGATTTATTCTCTTAATTTCCTTAAAAGGGTAAGTATGAAAATGTAAAGATGACAAAAGAGATTAAGAAAACTTAAAGAATAAGAAGACAAAGAAGACAAACACGATAGATTATGAAAAAGATGGATAGTGCAAAATAACAAAAAAGGGTAATGATAAAAAGAGAGAAAGTTAAAGCAAAATAAGAAAACTAAAAGATTAAGAAACATAAGTGGAAGAAGAATAAACTCAGAAAATGATGTAGACAAAGTATAATAAGGTCTAGATGATGTATAAAATTTTTAAAAAGATAAAAAAATGAAGAAAAAGACGAGGTGTTAATGTGGGAAAAAAAAAAGAATAATGAGTTGGAGAATAAGAAGATTGTGAAAAGGAAGTCAAAGAAGAGGAAAAAGAAGAAAGAAAATATGAGAAAGAAGAAAAAATGAAAAATTAAGAAGAATAATTAGATGAAGACAAAGTATAAGAGGAAGAAAACATAGATTAGATAAGTAAGAAAAAGACAAAAGAAAAAAACCTAAGATGACAAAAATCAAAAAACAAAAGAAGGAGAATTCAAAGAAGACCAAGATGATAAGGAAGAAGAAGAAGAAGTAGAACTCGAAAATGATGAAGTAGAAGATGAAAAAAAATAAAAAATAAAGAAGATGAGGAAGAAAACTAAAAGTTTATGAAGTAGAACTCAGAAAGTAAAACTTTTATATCTTGACATAATTTTTTTGGTTACTATAATTTAAAACTACAAATAATTAAAGAGAATAGTATAATGTGTATACATAATCAAAACTAAATACATAATAATTTGGTTTCATCGTTTTTGTAGTTCCATATTCAACTATAACAATTAGAGAATTAAACATTTTGAGATCATGAAATAATTTGACAATTGGTTATAATGTAGTTTTGAATAATAAACTAATAACGTTTTTCTATAAAAGGGATACTTGCACATATGACCCATAATTTGAAGTCAAATGCAAAAATAACCCCTTTTTTCTCCTTCTTCAACAAATGTCATTTTCTTCCTACTATCTCCTCACAACCACATATATTCACGAAAATGCCATTATGTTTTCAATTTTTATTTTTTCTGAAAAATAGCAA